GCGCCCCCCCCCCCCCCCCCCCGACAACAGCTGGTGTTACCGAGGGATTCCCAGCGTGACGTTCATCTCTCCTCTGCCGGCGAAGTGGAAGGTGTTGAGGGTCATCTGGGTGGAGGGCTCCCCGATGGACTGAGCTGCCAGGAGTCCCACCGCCTCCCCAGGGTCACACAGGGAATGCTGCCACTTATAGTGGAGGAGCTGACGGAGGCTGGGAGGACGGAGGAGCAGGAGGAGAAGAGAGGAGGAGAGAAGGAGGACACAGTCAGAGTCAGTCAGCTGGACTGGTCCACAGGACTTGGTTCTCAGCCTGAGGGAGGTGGCCCACCCTCTGACCCCCCCCCCCCCCCCCACCTGTGGGTGTCTATCCTGTCTTGACGGCTGGTGCTCCTGCTCTGCAGATATTTCTCTGTGATGTCATGGAAGTTCTCAGAGACCGACCCGAAGCAGACGTCAGGTTTGAACAGGGCCAGCGTTGGTTCTGGACATCGTGACGACTTCCTGCTGTACTTGGATTTACCGGCGTCATCCAGAGAATACCACTGCTGAGCCAGCTGTGGACAGAGCAGAACACAGGTCAGCTGTGACCGACCGGACTGGCCGCGCTGACCGCTGCCCCCTGCAGTCGCTCTACCTGCAGCACAGCCGCGGTCCTGCTGCAGACCTCTGGCCCCGTCGTCTGTTCTGTCAGTTTGGCGAGCTTCTTCTGAGAGAACAACAGGAAGGCTCCTGAGGAGACACAGACAACAAGGTCCTCATCCATTCATTCACTGGTCAAAGGTCAAAGGTCAGGGCCAGAGGTGGAGCTGACAATGATGTTCAATCTAAAGAAGTTCATTTACAAACAATACACAGTTACCGTACCAGTGACTGTTACCATCACCAGTGACTGTTACTGTACCAGTGACTGTTACTGTACCGGTGACTGTTACCGTACCAGTGACAGTCACTAGTACGTCACTGTACCAGTGACGTTACCGTACCAGTGACGGTCCCAGTGGTACTGATGTGATGACCCACCTCTGCGAGGACACACCAACTCTCTCTTTGTTTTCCAGCGTTGAATGGCTGCAAAGTGTTTCGTGGCAGCCTGTGAGTCCAAACGGGCCAGAACGCTGTCCACGTCCTGGGACGTCTTGATGACCTGACAGCAGAGACCACGAGGAGGTCAAACAGGAGGTCAAACAGGAGGTCAAACCTCCTGTGGAACACACCACAGAGTGAGAGAGCGTGACCTTTCACCTGGTAGTTGTTTTCTATGAAGGGAAACTGTCGCGGCTGCAGGAACTGAGTCTTGGGGATGTCCAGGCCGTCTTCACCGTAGAGGAACTGGACAACGGAGCCATCGCTGTCCCTCACTGTGAGATCGTACTGCACCACCAAACCCTCCAGATGTTTGATCACACACCTGTGGATGGACACAGTCAGCCGACACACACACCCCCCCCCACCCACCCCCCCCCCCCCCCACCCCCCCCCTCCTTCACCCCCCCTC